AGAAGGCAGAGGTCAAGGTTGAGTTTGATTCTTACTGAATTATTAAGTAATTAAAAAAAACACTACTGCCTTTCCCAATCCTAGCAAGTATGGGATGCTAGATTAAAGAAATCTCTTCAAGTTCATTGCAGTGGCTCATGTCTGTAGTCCCAGCTGTTTGGGAAGCAGAGATGGGAGTATCTTTGAAGGGCAGGAGTTCAAGACCAGCCTGGGCAACACAGCAAGATCTGCTCTTTACAAAAATATTTTTCAAAATTAAATAAATGTAGCTAGGCATGGTGATGTGTACTTGTAGTTTCAGCTACTCAGGAGGCTGAGGTGGGCAGATCTCTTGAGGTCAGGAGTTTGAGGCCAGCTTGGGCAACATAACAAGACCCTCACTCTACAACAAAATTAAAAAAATAGCCAGGCATGGTGGCACTCAACTGTAGTACCAGCTGCTGGGGAGCTGAGGCAGGGAGATGGCTTGAAGCCAGGAGGTTGAGGCTGCAGTGAGCTGTAAGTGCACAGCTGCACTCTAGTCTGGGTGACAGAGCAGAACCTGTATCACAGTACAAATAAAAAAATGAAATCTCAAGTCAGAGCCTTTCAGCTCTACAACCCTTGCAAACCCTGAGCCATGCAGTAGGGTTTGCATCGCTGGGAATGAGGAGACCCTTGCCCAGTGTTGTTGCCTGACTAATCAGTGTTTTAAGCATTTATTAATCAGGGTGGGCGCGGTGGCTCACGCCTGTAATCCCAGCACTTCAGGAGACCCAGGCGGGTGGATCACCTGAGGTCAGGAGTTCAAGACCAGCCTTGCCAACATGGCTAAACCCTGTCTCTACTGACAAAATACAATAATTAGCCGGGCATGGTAGTGGGCGCCTGTAATCCCAGCTACTTGGGAGGCTGAGGTAGGAGAATCGCTTGAGCCTGGGAGGCGGAGGTTGCAGTGAGCTGAGATTACGCCACTTCACTCCAGCCTGGGCGAAAGAGCGAGTATTATATCAACATGTAATGGTTTTATTATTAATATGTAATGAATGTTAAATATTTTAAGAATCTTGTATTGTATCAACATGTAATGGCTTTATATGTGAATATTTTTAAAATTCTGTCTTATTTTCTAGTTTTAATATACTTATTTATATAAAGAAATAGTCTTAGAGGTCTTTAATAAAGTTAAAAAATGTAAAGACATCCTAGACCCCAAAAGATTGAGAACTTCTAGTTTAGAAATATTCAGAATAAGCCACATACAACTTGCTACTTGAACTATTTTTTTTCTTTGTTTTTTATTTTAGGAGATGAGGTCTCACCCTGTCACCCAGGCTGGAGTACAGTAGTACTATCACAACTCACTGCAGTCTTGAGCTCCTGGGCTAAGGATCCTCCTGCCTGAGCCTCCTGAGTAGCTGGGACTATAGGTATACATGACGACACTTGGCTAATTTTTAAATTGTTTTGTGGACATGGGGTCTCACTTTGTTGGCCTGGCTGGTGTCAAACTTCTGGCCTTAAGTAACCCTTTCACCCCTGCCTCCCATCCTAGAGGTATGAGCTGCCACAACGAGCACTTGTTCAATTTTCTAAACAAAACATTTCTAAAGTAAGGCTGTAGGATGATGGCAGGAAGATAAAAATAGAAAAACAGAAGAATAAGTTCAGATGACTTACACATATTCTTTTGACAGCAAGAAGAACTTTTAGTATATACATTCCTTGCAAACAAACATAAGGCAAATAAACAGTGTTGTATAGGAACGTCAACACACACTACAATATTCCCACTTTGCTGACATGAGTTATGGAAATTTTGTGGTTTACTTGAGTATCGCTATCAGTATTTTGCTTCTCTGATCATTTTTATGAACTTCCTCATCTGTTAACTTCTCTCCAAGGTATGTCATATCGTGACATACTGCTGCTGCACAAACATGGCCAGTGTCTTCCTCTTAAACATGTTGAATGCTTTCTTAATTTCTTTTACCCTCTGTCTCTGTGTTTTGCATTTTTCTTACCTTTATTGTCAGAAACTCGAGAAAGTCAGTCATACTAATTTATCGCCATTTGCTTTATTAATTTATACTTTTCTTATACGGAATTTTGCCCAACAGGCCTCATTACAATTTCTAACCTGTTTTGTTTTATTTTGTTTTTTTCTGAGGCAGAGTCTCGTTCTGTTGTCCAGTCTGGAGTGTAGTAGTGCTATCACAGTTGACTGCAGCCTCAACCTCCCAGGCTCAAGCAATCCTCCCGTCTCAGCCTCCCACGTGGCTGAGACTATAGGTGCTTGCCACTATGCCCAACTAATATTTGGAATTTTCCTATACGTGGGTTCCAGAGGGGTGACGGCGAAACGTGAGTAAGCATGGAGTTTGGTATATGCAGAGATGGGGGGCTGGAACTAATTCTGTCTGTATACCGAGGGACGACTGTATATGTTTTTACAATTATGCTGTAGGACACATAGTATTACATAGCCTTGAAAATAATAATTTTTAACTGAGTGGAGTAATGATAATATTGATAAAAGTAGCAGCTGGCCAGGTGTGGTGGCTTACACCAGTAATCACAACACTTTGGGAGGCTGAGGCAGGAGGATGGCTTGAGGCCAAGAGTTTGAGACAGGCCTTGGAAACAAAGGGAGTCACCATCCCTACAGAAAAATACATGAATTAACCTAGTGTGGTGGCATGTTCCTGTAGTCCCAGCTACTTGGGAGGCTGAGGTGGGAGGATCGCTTGAGCCCAGGGAGGCTGAGACTGCAGTGAGTCATGATCAGGCCTCTGCACTCCAGCCTGGGTGACAGAGTGAGATACTGTCTCAAAACAACAAAAAAGTAGCAGCTAACATCAACTGAGCTTTTACCAGTTGCCTGTTAATACCATGGTTTAATTTCTTATAACTGTTTCTTATTTCACTTAACCACTCTGTCTTCCGTTACTCCCAGATTTTCACTGTGTTTGTACAGATGACCTTTGTTTAGATTGAATTGTCTCCCCAAGGTATTTGCAGAAGTAAGATTACTGTGAGTCATGGTGAATGGACATTCTCATTACCCTTGATGTCAATTGACAAGGTTTTGGGTGCCTCCCAGCTATAATCTCAGCACTTTGGGAGGCTAAGACAGGAGGATTGCTTGATGCCAAGAGTTGGAGGAGGCAGTTTGGCAGTATGGTGAGACCCTGTCTCTATTATTTTAAAAAATTGTCAAGCTTTACCCTGGAAGGCTTATATACAATTTAAACACCCCTCATAGTATAAGAAAGTGCCCATTTCACTGCATCTTTGCCAGCACAGGGTATTAAAATTTAATGTCATTTTTTGTTTTTTTAAATTGGTAAAAGACCTCATATTACTTTACTTGTCACATTTCTACATCTTTCCTTAGCTTATTAGCTCTATTTCTTTTCTGTCTGTAAATGGTTGTTGTTGTTTTGTTCTTTGAGACAGGGTCTTGCTCTGTCACCCAGGCTTGACTGTAGTGGCATAATCATGACTCACTGCAGCCTTGATCTCCCAGGATCAAACTTCAGCTTCCTGAGTAGCTGAGACTACAAGTGTGCACCACCACTCCCAGCTAATTTTTTTCTTTTTTTGAATAGAGACAGGGTCTCACTGTGTTGTCCAGACCGGTCTCTAGCTCCTGGCCTTAAGCAGTCCTCCTGTGTTAGCTTCTCAAATTGCTGGAATTTTGGGTATGAGCCACCATGCCTGGCCTGGGCTAGTCCTGATTTCTCTAGAGTTCTCTTTACTTTGTGCTAGCCAATCTCTCATTATGCTGTTCCCCTGTTACAATGAATAATTCTCTGGATTAAATTTTACCACTTTAAACTTTTGAGTGGTTTATGTCTCCTGATTGGACTCTGACTAATATGCTCGGAAGGGTCCCAGGAGAGAAACTCACACAGATGGGATTTGGGCATAGGTTTGATTTTCCAAGGGACAGTGCTGAGTTCCTTGCCAATGGGAAATGGGATGCTGGTGATTTCCGGTAAGTGACCTCACAGTGACTCAAGCTACCACTTACTGTTGATTGTGATGAAATGCCAACTGAGGCACATGCCTTGGGAGCTAAGTGGTTGCTGCAGTTGACCACTATGAAGACTGGTGTGGGAAGGGTCCTTTTGGATGCACTTGAGCGGGGGTCCCCAACCCCTGAGCCATGGAGCTGTAAGGAGCCACACAACAGGAGGTGAGTGGTAGTGAGTGAGGGAAGCTTCATCTGTATTTACAGCCACTCCCCTTTGCTCACATTCCCGCCTGAGCTCCACCTTCTCTCAGGTCAGCAGCAGCATTAGATTCTCATAGGAGCACGCACCCTGTTGTGAACCGTGCATGCGAGGCATCTAGGTTTTGCTGTCCCTATGAGAATCTAATGCCTAATGATCTGTCACTTTCTCCCGTCACGCTCAGATGGGACCATCTAGTCGCAGGAAAACAAGCTTAACATGCCCACTGATTCTACATTATGGTGAGTTCCATAATTACTTTCCTATATATCACAATTTAATAATGGAAATAAAGTACCTAATAAATGTAACATACTTGAATCTTTTGGCCCAGGTCTTGCCTCCCGGCAGCCTCTGCAGCCTCTCCAGGCCCCAAACTTTCTCCAGTCGGCCTCTACAGACCAAGCTCATGACTCACAGTGGTCTATTTAGGCCCGTACCCTACCTCACAGCGGTCTCCGCGGATAAGGCTACTGCCTCACAACAGCCTCCACAGGCCCAGCTCCATCGTTACCACGGCCTCTTTAGAGCCAGCTTCTGCCTCCCAGTCTTCTCTCCAGGCCCAGAACTTTCTCAAGTCGACCTCACCAGACCTAGCTCCTGCCTCTCATTGCCCTCCCAAGGGCCAGCATTTGCCTCACGGCCACCTTCCGAGATCCAGCTCCTGTTTTACAGTGGCCTCATGAGGCCCATCTTCTGACTCCCGGCAGCCTGTACAGGCCCAGCTCCTGCCTTACAATGGCCTCTTTAGTCCCAGCTCCTGCCTCTTTGCAGGAGGCCCAAATGTCCTCAACTCCAGGCCACAAAATCCAGGCCCAAAATGTCCACAAGTCGGCCTCTGAAGGCCCCGCTCCTGCCTTTCGTTGGCCTCTCCAGGCCCAGCTGCTGTCCCCAGGTGACCTCTACAGGCTGCGCTTTTACTTCTGGCTGTGCCTGGAGGCCCAACTCCTGCCTCAGAACAACCTCTTTTGGCTCAGCTCCTGCCCAGTTCCTGGTGGCCTTTGAAGGCCCAAAAGTGCCTCAAGTCAAGCTTTCCAGGCCCACCCTCTGCCTCCCAATGGCCTGGACAGGCCCAGCTCCTACGTAACAATGGCCTCTCCAGGCCCAGCTTTTGCCTCACGGACATGTTCTCCAAACAAGCTCCTACCTGCCTCCCGGCCAGCTCGATGGGCCCAGATCCTGCCTCACAGTAACCTCGTTAGGCCCAGCTCATGCCTCACTGTGGCCTGTCCAGGCCCAGGTCCTGCCCCCCGACAGGCTGTCCGTGCCCAAAACTTCCTCAAGTCAGCCTCTCCAGTCACAGCTCCTGCCCAACATTGGCCTCTTTAGGCAGGACTCATGCCTTGATGGCCTCTCCAGGCCTCTCCAGGCCCAGCTCCTGCATCCTGGCAGCTTCTCTAGACCAAGAACTTTCTCAGGTCTGCCATTCCAGGCCCAACTCCTGCCTCCCGTCAGCCTCCATAGGCTCAACCTCTGCCTCGCAGGAGACTTTCCTGGCCACCTAGGCCAAGCTCCTGCCTTTCAGCAGCCTCTACAGGCCCAGCTCCTGCCTCTCAATGACCTCTCTAGAGCAAGCTCATGCCTCACAGCGGCCATTCTGGCTCGACTTTTGCCTGTCGGCAGCATCTCCAGGCCCAGAACTTCCTCAAGTGGGCCTCTTCAGGCTCAGCTCTTCCTCCTGACTGCATCTCCAGGCCCGTCTCCTACGTCACAACAACCTCTTTCAGCTCAGCTCTTGCCCAGCTCCTGGCAGCCTTTATGGCCCAAAGCTTTCTCACATCAGGTTCTCTAGCACAACCTGCCTCCCAGCAGCTTAAATAGGTCCAGCTCCTGCGTGACCATGGCCTCTCCAGGCTCAGCTCTTGCTTAACGGGGTCCGTCCTTGGCCAAGTTCCTGCCTGCCTCCCAGCAGGCTCGAAAGGCCCAGCTCCTGCCCCCGACAGTCTCTCCAGACCAAAATCTTCCTCAAGTCAGCCTCTACAGGCTGGTCTCTTGCCTCACACTGGCCTCTCCAGGCCCAGCTCCTGCATCTTGGCAGCCTCTCCAGGCCCAGCTCTTGCCTCGTGGCAGCTGCCCCAGGCCAAGTTTCTGACTGCCTGCCAGCAGCCTCAACAGGCACAGCTCCTCCCTCACACTGGCCTGTTTAGGTCCAACTCCTGACTGTCAGGCCCTATCCAGGCCCAGTGCCTGCCTTCTGACTGACTCTTGAAGCCCAAAACGTCCTCAAATCAGCCTTTTTAGGCCCACCTTCTGTCTACTGTCGGACTCTACAGGCCAGCCTCTGCCTCACAGTGGACCCTGCAGACCCAGATCATGTCTTACTGTGGCATCCTCAGGTGAAGATCCTGCCCTTTGGCAGCTTCTACAGGGCCATCTCCTGCCTTGCAATGGCCTCTTTAGGCCAAGCGCATGCCCCATGGTGACTTTTCCAGGCACAGATTTTGCTTTTTGCAGCCTGTCCAGGCCCAGAATATCCTGAACTTGGCATCTCTGGGACGAGCTCATTCTCCCGGCTGCACCTACAGGCCCATTTCCTGCCTCAAAACAACTTCCTTTGGCCCAACTCCTGCCGAGCTGCTGGCAGCCTCTGTAGGCCACAGACTTCTTAATGTAAAGCTTTCCAGGCCCACCTTCGGCCTCCCGGCAGCCTCAGCAATCAAACTATTCCCTCATGGCAGCTACAAAAAGCCAAGTTTCTCCCTGCCTCACGGAATCCTCCAAAACCAGCATTTGCCTCACGGCAGCCTCCTCAGGCCACAAATCTGCCTGTCTCCCAGCAGTCTTGACAAGTCCAGCTGATGCCTCACAATGGCCCCTTTAGGCCCAGCTCATGCCAAAAGGTGGACTCTCCAGGCATAGCTCTTGCCTCCTGGCAGCCTCTGCAGGCCCCAATTCTCTAAAAGTTGCCCTCTCCCAACCCAGCTCCTACCTCACGAGGTCAGCCTACAGAGGCCCAAACTCTACCACACAGTGGCCCTTCCAGGCCCACCAGATCATGGCCTCCTCAGGTGAAACTCCGGCCTCACAATGGCCTCTGTAGGCCAAGCTCACATCTCCCGGTGGCCTTTCCTAGCTTAACTTTTGCTTTTTGACGCATACTCCAGGCCCAGAACTTCCTCCATTCAGCCTGTCCAGGCCAAGGTCTTCCTCCCAAAGGCCTCTGCAGTCCCAAATCGTCCTGAAGTCAGCCTCTGCAGGCCCAGGTCCTGCCTCCCAGTGCTGTGTAGGTCAAGCTAATGCCTCACAGCAGACTTTCCAGGCCAAGCGTTTGCTTTTGTGCATCGTCTCCATGCCCTTAAATTACTCCAGTCGGTCTTTCCAGGCCCAGCTCTTCCTCCCAGCAGCCAAATTGTCCTCAATTTGCCCTCTCCAGGACCAACTCCTGTCTTCTGGTGGCTTCTGCAGGCTAAAATTGACCTCACGTCAGCCTCTCTAGGCCCGGCTCTTGCCTCTAAGTAGACTCTCCCAGGTGCACAACTGCCTGAAGTTAGCCTCTCCAGGCCCAACTCCTGCCTCCCAGTGGACTCTTCAGGACCAGCTCATTCTACATAATGGATTTTACAGGCCCAGGTTTTCCCTGTTGATGGCTTCCCAAGGCCCAGAACGTCCTCAAATCGGACTCTCCAGACCCATTTGCTGCCACATGGTGGTCTCTCCTGGCCCAGATCTTCTTCCCGGCTGTGTTTATATGCTCAATCCAACCAGACAACAACCTCTGTGGATGTCCCTTTTGCCAAGCTCCTGACGGCCTATATAGGCCCAAAACTTCCTCAACGCAAGCTCACCAGGACAAATTCCACCCACATGGGGGACTCTGCAGGCCCAAACCATCCTGAAGTTGGATCGTCCAGGTCTAGCTACTGCCTCCTGACGACCTTTGCAGGCCCAGACTCTGTCTCATGGCAACCTCGACAGGCCAAGGTCTTCCACCGGCTGCATATACAGGCCCAACTCCTGCCTCTGAAAACACAACTTTTGTCTCAGCTCCTGCATATATCCTGCCAGCGTCTTTAGGCCAGATACTGTTTCCAATCAAGCTCTTTCGGCCTCCGCAGTCCAGAGGTGCTCCTGACTTGCGGCAGTTTCGACAGGCACCACTCCTGCCTTCCAGTGGCCGCTTTAGGCCCCGCTCATTCCTCTCAGGGAATGGCCTTTCCAGGCCCACTCTTTGCCTTCTGGCGGCCTCTCCAGGCCTGAAACTTCCTCAGGCCGGCCTCTCCAGGCCCCGTTGAGGCCTCCCGCCCTCCCGACCAGACCCAGCTCCTCCTGCTCCCGGCTGCGGCCGTGGGCCCAGCCCCGGCCTCACGACAACCTCTTTGGACTCGGCTCCGGACCAGCTCCCGCTCCACGGTCTTTGTGGGCCAAAAACGTTCTGAAGCCAGGCACCACGGTGGCCTCTACGGGCCCGGCTCCTGCCTTCCGACGGCGTCTCCATGCCCCAGACTTCCTCCAGCCAGCCTCACCAGGCCCATCTCCTCCTCACGGCGGCCTCTGCAGGCCCACGCTGGCCTCGAGTCGGCCTCCCCAGGGCTCGCTCCTGTTCCCGGCGGCCTCTGCGGGCCCAACTCGTCGCCCAGTTGGCCTCCGCCGCCCCAGCTCCTGCCTCTCCGTGGCCTCTCCAGTGGCCAGACTTCCTCCGGTCAGCCTCTCCAGACCCATCTTTTCCTGCCTGCCACTGACCTCTTGAGGCCCAGCCCCGCTCACGCCTCTAGGCGGCCTCCTCAGGCCCAGGACTTGACCTCCAGTCTGCCTCGCCAGCCCCAGACTCCTGCCTCCCGAAGGCGTGCACGGGCCCAGCCTCTGCCTCCCAGCGGACTCTCCACGCCCAGCTCTCGCCTGACTTCAGCCTCCCCAGGCCAGAGCTCCTCCTGCCTTTTGGTAGCTCCGCCGGGCCCCGCTCTTGCCTCCCAGTGGCCTCACTAGGCCCCGCGCATTCGTCACGGGGAACGGCCTTTCCAGGCCCAGCCTTTGCCTTTTGGCGATCTCTTCAGGCCACGAACTTCCTTAGGTCGGCCTCTCCAGGTCCCGTTGCAGCCTCCCGGACTCCCGTCCAGGCCCAGCTCCTCCTGGTATCGGCTGCGGCCGCAGGCCCAGCCCCAGCCTCACCTCAACCTCTTTGGACTCGCCTCCGGTTCAGCTCCCGCTCCGAGGCCTTTGTAGGACCCAAATGTCCTGAAGCCGGGCCCCACGGTGGCCTTTCCGGGCCCGGTTCCTGCCCTCCGACGGCGTCTCCACGTCCCAGAGTTCCTCCAGGCAGCCTGTGCAGTCCCACCTTCTCTTCCCGGCGGCCTCTGCAGGCCCACGCTGACCTCCAGTGGGCCTCTCCAGGGCTCGCTCCTGCTCCCGGCGGCCCCTGCGGGCCCAACTCGTCGCCCAGTCGGTATCCGCCGAACCAGCTCCTGCCTCTCCACGGCCTCTCCAGCGGCCAGACTTCCTCAGGTCAGCCTCTCCAGGCCCAGCTCCTCCTGCCTGCCACTGGCCCCTTGAGGGCTAGCCCCGCTCACCCCTCTGGGAGGCCTCGTCAGGCCCAGGACTTGACCTCCAGTCGGCCTCGCCAGGCCAAGCCTCCTGCCTCCCGAGGGCCTGCACAGGCCCAGCCTCTGCCTCCCAGCGGACTCTCCACGCCCAGCTCTCGCCTGAGTGCGGCCTCCCCAGGCCAGAGCTCCTCCTGCCTTTCGGCAGCTCCGCCAGGCCCCGCTCCTGCCTCCCAGTGGCCTCCGTAGGCCCGGCTCATTCGTCACTGGGAACGGCCTTCCAGGGCCAGTCTTTGCCTTTTGGCGGCCTCTGCAGGCCCCGACCTTCCTAGGCCGGCCTCTCCAGGCCCAGATGCGGCCTCCCGGCCTCCCGTCCAGGCCCAGCTCCTCCTGCTCCCGGCTGCGGCCGCTGGCCCAACCCCGGCCTCACGACAACCTCTTTGGACTCGGCTCCGGCCCAGCTCCCGGTCCGCGGCCTTTGTATGCCCCAAACGTCCTGAAGCCGGGCCCCATGGTGGCCTGTCCGGGCCCGGCTCTTGCCTTCCGACGGCGTCTCCACGCCCCAGACTTCCTCCAGCCAGCCTCTCCAGGCACAGCACCTCCTCCCGGCGGCCTCTGCAGGCCCACGCTGGCCACGAGTCGGCCTCTCCAGGGCTCGCTCCTGCTCCCGGCGGCCCCTGCGGGCCCAACTCATCGCCCAGTCAGCCTCCGCCGGCCCAGCTCTCGCCTCTCCGCGGCCTCTCCAGCAGCCAGACTTCCTCCGGTCAGCCTCTCCAGGCCCAGCTCCTCCTGCATGCCACTGGCCTCTTGAGGCCCAGCCTCGCTCACGCCTCTAGGCGGCCTCCTCAGGCCCAGGACTTGACCTCCAGTCGGCCTCGCCAGGCCCAGCCTCCTGCTTCCCGAAGGCCTGCACGGGCCTAGCCTCTGCCTCCCAGCGGACTCCCACGCCCAGCTCTTGCCTGACTGCGGCCTCACCAGGCCAGAGCTCCTCCTGCCTTCGGCAGCTCCGCTGGGCCCCGCTCCTGCCGCCCAGTGACCTCCTTAGACCCAGCTCATTCGTCTCGGGAAACGGCTTTCCCAGGCCCAGCCTTTCCCTTTTGGCGGCCTCCCCAGGCCCCGGCCTTCCTCAGGCCGGCCTCTCCAGGCCCAGTTGCGGCCTCCCGGCCTCCCGTCCAGGCTCAGTTCCTCCTGTTCCCGGCTGTGGCCGCCGGCCCAGCCCCGGCCTCACGACTACCTTTTTGGACTCGGCTCCGGCGCAGCTCCCGCTCCGCGGCCTTTGTAGGCCCCAAACGTCCTGAAGCTGGGCCCCACGGTGGCCTCTCCGGGCCCGGCTCCTGTCCTCCCACGGCGTCTCCACGCCCCAGACTTCCTTCAGCCAGCCTCTCCAGGCCCAGCTCCTCGTCCCGGCGGCCTCTGCAGGCCCACGCTGGCCTCCAGTCGGCCTCTCCAGGGCTCGCTCCTGCTCCCGGCGGCCCCTGCGGGCCCAACTCGTCGCCCAGTCGGCCTCCGCCGGCCCAGCTCCTGCCTCTCCGAGGCGTCTCCATCGGCCAGACATCCTCCGGTCAGCCTCTCCAGGAGTAGCTCATCCTGCCTGCCACTGGCCAATTGAGGCCCAGCCCCGCTCACGCCTCTGGGCGGCCTACTCAGGCCCAGGACATGACCTCCAGTCGGCCTCGCCAGGCCCAGCCTCCTGCCTCCCGAAGGCCTGCACGGGCGCAGCCTCTGCCTCCCAGCGGACTCTCCACGCCCAGTTCTCGCCTGACTGCGGCCTCCCCAGGCCAGAGCTCCTCCTGCCTTTCGGCAGCTCCGCCGGGCCCCGCTCTTGCCTCCCAGTGGCCTCACTAGGCCCCGCGCATTCGTCACGGTGAACGGCCTTTCCAGGCCCAGCCTTTGACTTTTGGCGGCCTCCCCAGGCCCCGACCTTCCTCAGTCCGCCCTCTCCAGGCCCAGTTGCGGCCTTCCGGCCTCCCGTCCAGGCCCAGCTCCTCCTGCTCCCGGCTGCGGCAGCCGGCCCAGCCCCGGCCTCACGACAACCTCTTTGGACTCGGCTCCGGCCCAGCTCCCGCTCCACGGCCTTTGTAGGCCCCAAACGGCCTGATGCCGGGCCCCAGGGTGGCCTCTCCGGGCCCGGCTTCTGCCCTCCGACGGCGTCTCCTCGCCCCCGAACTTGCTCCAGCCAGCCTCTCCAGGCCCAGCTCCTCCTCCCGGCGGCCTCTGCAGGCCCACGCTGGCCTCCAGTCGGCCTCTACAGGGCTCGCTCCCACTCCTGGCGGCCTCTGCGGTCCCAACTCGTCGCTCAATCGGCCTCCGCCGGCCCAGCTGCTGCCTCTCCGCGGCCTCTCCAGCTGCCTGACTTCCTCAGGTCAGCCTCTCCAGGCCCAGCTCCTCCTCCCGGCGGCCTCTGCAGGCCCACGCTGGCCTCCAGTCGGCCTCTACAGGGCTCGCTCCCACTCCTGGCGGCCTCTGCGGTCCCAACTCGTCGCTCAATCGGCCTCTGCCGGCCCAGCTGCTGCCTCTCCGCGGCCTCTCCAGCTGCCTGACTTCCTCAGGTCAGCCTCTCCAGGCCCAGCTCCTCCTGCCTGCCACTGGCGTCTTGAGGCCCAGCCCCGCTCACGCCTCTGGGCGGCCTCCTGAGGCCGAGGACTTGACCTCCAGTGGGCCTGGCCAGGCCCAGCCTCCTGCCTCCCGAAGGCCTGCACAGGCCCGGCCTCTGCCTCCCAGCGGACTCTCCACGCCCAGCTCTCGCCTGACTGCGGCCTCCCCAGCCAGAGCTCCTCCTGCCTTTCGGCAGCTCCGCCGGGCCCCGCTCCTGCCTCCCAGTGGCCTCACTAGGCCCCGCGCATTCGCCACGGGAACGGCCTTTCCAGGCCCAGCCTTTGCCTTATGGCGGCCTCTC